TGGTGTGACAAATTATGATATCATTATTTGAATCATAATTAGGACTTAATCCATGCATTTAAACTTGGGTTTAGTCTCTAATTTGGGAAACACGTTTCCACACTCTCCAATAATTCACTCAATTCCAAACCCTTTACCTTACCAATCATTTTCCATTTATCACTTTAATAATTCAAACACATTTTAATTATGCATTTTAATCCTTTTTAGAACATATATTCCACTTACCTCTCACCAAATTATGACAACCCTTTTATTTCTCTCATAATTCATATATATATATACTATAATATAGTAATTGCTACAACCGTCCAAACCCACTACAGATATCATCTCTTTTGGTCCATTATCATCAATCGCATTTTTTATGGCAACGGACTTACGATTGTGCGGTACTCACTTTCCAGCAATAAGTGAGCTAAGTCAATTCGTTCTTACGTCGCTTACGGCCAAGAAAAGCCTCTAGCCTTGGTTTAAGAAAAAGGTTTTAGAAGAGCATAGAGAGATTTTGAAAGAGGTGTTATATATGCAAGCAAGAGAGTAACAACAACGACTCACAGTATATAACTATTGGTAGGGAGAAGTTGACATCTCGTTAGTCTTACAGTTTTAAAATGTGCATGCTAAAGAGAGGTTTCCACATCCTTACAACAGTTTCCTACCACATCATCATGTATGTATATTATAATTGATCTAGTTAATATAGTACTTGCTACAACGGTCCAAACCCACGCCAGATATTGTTGTTTTGGTCAATTATGAATTATCGTTAATCTTACAGTTTTAAAATGCGTATGGTAAAGAGAGGTTTTCACATCCTTATAAGGGCACATATATAAGGAATGCTTTGTTCCCTTCTCCAACCAACGTAAGACCTCACATTTACTCTCGCTTTTTGTGAACGACCTATGCTTAAGCCTCCGCCAAACTTTTGAAAAATGGTTTTAGGAAACAGGGTTAGAGAAAGATTTGAAAAACGTTAATTTGAGAAAACAATGTTACAAGCTAGTAGGCAGTAAAGAAGAAGGACGACATAAATAGCATGTAAGTCAGATAGGAAGATTTGACAACTAGTCGTATATTTCTATATTCGTAAAGAATGAGTATACATCCATGTGAAACATGTTCTAAATAAGTATGATCATGACATAGAGTAAGGAAAAAATTTAAGAACGGAATGAGATTCATGTATTAAGATTAGATAAAATATATGAACGCTAGAATTGTCTAGAATTAATATAACTGAATGATTTTGATTAGATTTGTCACGGACGTACCTACCCAGCAACGTTCTCTTTAACTTTTGATGAGTTAGCCTCCTGAAAGAGAAGCAGGGTGTCTTGGGTGTCTGATAAACAAGTAAGAAGCTGGGCATGAAGAAAAATGGACGTTTAATGGGGCCTAATTGGACGGCACCTGCCCTTAAAAAAGGATACCCTACAAAGTTTGTCACACAAATGAATAGTGTTTTTGTGCCTTTCTTTAAGCAAGTTGCAAAAATATGTTTCTATACCACGTAATTAAATAAGGATACCTACACCCTTGTTCATATCCCTTTTCTTTCCGAGTTCTATAACGTGGGATTGAAGATTCAAACCTGTTATAGCATCTGTGTAAGATTCCACAAGGGTGTGGAAGCTTCTCTCTAGTAAACATGTTTTTAAAAGTTGATAACGATACGTAAATGGCCAAAACGAACAATGCCATATCCAGACACTAGGTGATGTAAGTGGTGTGCCAACGTAACAGGAGTTGGTTGGAGAGAGGAACAAAACATTTGTTATAAGAGTGCGTTTTATATTACTGATACGTAACGGGCTAAAGCAGATAATGTCTACTAGCGGTAAACTTGAACTGTTACAATTTGGACGATCCTGCTCAATTATTCAACCACGTGAGCTATGATCGAGAATTCATTAGGGTTATCTTTAGGAAAAAGACGAGGGGTGTAGTTTGTAGACCCATAAAAATTTAACCATTTCCTCGTGGGATATTTGGAAGTGATGAGAATCATACAACATAAAAGAAGGCAAAGGCATATGGGGAGAAGGTGAAGAGAAGGACAAAGCAAGCAAGGTCCATATACAATTATCAATGGAAGAAGGAAGAAGACTGAAAGACAGGTAGCCTAACACTCAAATAACTCTTCTTTCTACCAATTAACCCTTTCTATCTTTTTCCCATTGTCTCCTTTTCCCCACATACTTGTTCTTTTCTTAATCGTCATTTGTGTTTCAGTCACGGGTAAGGCGATCGGGTAAGGCAATCAAGCTACCTACACCTGTTTAGTCCGGTCGTTTAGCGACTCTTTCTGAAAAACGGAAATGTAAAAAGAAAGCCTCACGTGAATTTAGATTTGAAAGTTTTGGATTATGATACGATTATTAGTTTATATTTTATTAGATTCAGTTTAGAGGTTTAAATAGATTTGAGGTTGTAATTCTCGTGTTTTATTCTACGAGACAATCGTTGTATCTAACTAGCTACTAGTTTGTTAGTGTTTTTCAGTTCTTATCTCGAGTGTATCTTCCACCTATATAAAATCTCCACAAACACCGACAAAAATAACTTTTAACATGTAGGAAGATGTTCACATCCTCAAGAATACAATTCCAAATTGATTCTCGAGTATAAATAAAGTGTTGTTTAGGGTTCAGTGCTGTTGCATGAGACATCTAAATTAGGAACAATGGATAAGAAATTATTTGTTGGAATCAAGCGTGACTATATAACAATCCATAAGGAAGGAGCCATTTGCTAATTTGGGGTATGTATTTAGAATCTTTTGTTTGTCCTCTTCATCAACACGACCATAATCTCATAATCAATCAATCAATCAATCAATCGGGTGCCACTCATGCATCTACCAAATAATGGCCTCAAATGCTAAAGGTAAGAGCTCAAATAGGGTTTAACGAAAGTTTCGGGATTAAATCACGAGAGTTTAAAGGTTAGAGACCAAAATAAATTTGATAGTTATCATACTCTATCTCGTGGTAGATGCATAGTCAAAAAGTGATTTTTTGTTCATCGTACTTAGTTGTATATCGAGCTTCAAATAGTCGGGAACTTGATTCATCGACTTTGAACTAGTAATTGATATCTTATCTATCGAGTTATCTTGATATCTCCCTATCTAATTTAACCATTATAAAAAAAGGTGACAGTGTTTTTTTTTTTTTTCCTTTTCTTTTTTCTTCCTAATAATTATTTATTCATTGGAATAAAAATTAATAATTTAACTTAATAAAAATTAATTAATTAAAATAGACCATATTCTAAAACTTAATATATATATATATATATACCATATTCTAAAACTTTTTTATTCTAATATATATATATATAATATAAAGTTAGAGGGTGAAATAATTGGTAATGTATTATAAATAAGCCACGGCGCAGTTGTAAAAAGCAATAAAATTATGAATTAAAAAAGAACAAATAAATAAAAGACAAATAAAGGGAGTGTTTTTATTAGGTGGGGGCAACATTGTAATAATGGGGGAAACAGAAAGAAGAGTGGAAAGTCACAAATAATTAATATTGAAGCGAAGTTAGAATATTTATAGTTAGGGATTAGAGTAATTAAAATAGTATAAGATGAAAAAGTTAGGTTTAATCTTTAATAATTTAAATAATTAAGAAAACCCTAATTTGAGCTTTTGGTCACACCCATTATTTTATACACATCTTTTGCCTAAACTTAGGATAAGATATTAATTTTGTTCATAGATTTCACGCTATCATATGCTCCTATTTCTTGGAAAAGTTGTTTTTTTTTCTAAAATATTATTTGTTTAAAAAATAATCATTGTTTTTTTGTTTTATTTTTTATTTTTATTTGGTGGAGGGTTGTGTGTGTAAAGGGGGTTGTAGGGTACTGGTGGGGGAAATTAGCTTGTAAATAATAAAAATAAAATATAATAATTATTATTATATAAATTTAATTTAAGGGTATTTGATTTTGACCCAATTTTAGGGGAGTGAATGTGATCGAATTCCCTATTAGTCATCATTTAGTGGTTTAAATGATAAAATCTTGTTACTGTTCTAACCATTATTTATCAAAATAATAATAATAATAATAATAATAATAATAATAAATAGGTAAAAGTTAATAATTTGGTCAGCGGTAAGAAAAAAAAAAGTAAAATTATAGAGGGAAAATAATAAAATAGACCAATAATAATAATAATATCTTTGAACCAATATTTATTTTGGATTTTTTATTGAAAAAAATTAAATAAAATTAATATGGTAATAGATATGCTCTGCCACTACCACACTCATGTGCATTAAAATTTCTGAATCTGGCTGAGTCCCACGTGTATATAGCCTTCATTATTTCATTTTACGAAATTATTTTATTCTTTTTAAGAAAATTATTTTTGGGATTTATTTATTTGTTTATTTTTGTTTATTACCTCTCTCAATTATTCGTACTTATTATATAAATAAAAAAAATAACAAAAAAGGAAATTAATAGAATCGAACGACGTGTCGGATGATGGTTGGGGGGTTTTATTTATTTATTTACTTTCAAGTTAATTCGATGAATGGGAAAATTACGGAAAAGGAAAAAAATCAGATTTTTTTTTTTACTTGGAAAAAAATGACACGTGCCACGTGGAAGGGTGATATGGCTTTTCTCTAAATATTATAGACGTTAGAGGAACGAAACGGTGACGTGTTGGGGGTTTAATATTCAGAAGTCGCCGCTCTTTTCTCTCTCTCTCTCTCTCTCTCTATCTCTGTAACTTTCTATCCAGCTTAGATTTCATTTCCTTTACTTAGAAATCACAGGCAGAGAGCTTCATTGGTACGTTTTTTCTTCTCCTCTTTTTGGCATTTCACCTCTTTTTCAGATCACTCGAAGCCGTAAGTGTTAGTTTTCGAATCGATTGCATATGGCAGCTTTGCGTTTCTGTGACTTCTTCTTTTGATGATGATGATGATGAGGAGGAGGAGGAGGAGGAGAAGGTGGAGGATGATGTTTTGTTCATATTGTTCTTATCTGTGTTGCTTGTGATTTCGTTTCTTTGAGTGGTTTGTGAAATTAAATGTGGATTTTGGATATTCTTGTTCCGTTTTGATTTTGTTTTGTTCTGTATGGCTGGGAAGGCGGGGGAAATGAATGTAACGGAAGGTTCGAATCTCTAGATTTTGATAATTGGAATAGAAGAAATGGAGTTGACTGATAGACAGCGTTGTACTAGGATTTTTTTCTTTTTATGTCTCTTAATGGTGGAAAATTTGGGGGTCAAAACCGCGTTCTATTTATTTATTCTTTGCAATTGTCTGGAAATTGTTTGGGTAGTGATAGATTAATAGACTTGTGGCTTCGATTGTTTGGGTTTTTACTTTACCGAAATGTTTCTCTTGTTCGTTGTGTCTCTGTGGTATTCAGTTGTGGCTGTGTCTTATCTTCTCTGAGCCGTAAAGCTTGTATCTCGCTGAGGCTGAAAAATAAGAGTAACGAACCTTTGTGATTTTTGATGCAGCGAAATCGGGGAACCAATGTACATACGATGAGTTTTCTCAAGGATGATGGATTCAATGCCAGAGGAAATCAATGATGGAACTGTATTTTCAAAATTTTCTTCTCGTTTAGAGATTGAAAAGTGAAAAGGATGACCGTGCAATTCTTCATAAAGATGAGGAGCATAGGAAGAATCAATTCACGGATGCAATGATCCTGATCTTCAATGGATTGTCCAAACTCTTAACTTTTTATAAAGTTCGTGCCTATTATGCATTTTCAGTGGTGAATTGAAAGATTAAATTAATAGTTTGTTGAAAAATGGCTATTGCTGGTCTACATAATGTCTCTGTTCATGATTCTTCATTTATTCGAGAATCTCAATCTCAAGCATCAAGGCAGTTAGAAAATGAAAGTAGAGTAAGCACCCGGGCATCCTCTCTTCTACGTATATGGCGAGGACTTGAGGATGAGCAAGTGGTGAGAGGCACACAGGAGAGTGTTAGTGAAGGATCTACTGATCTCTCAAGAATAAATGCACCTGAAGGGCAAAGTACTGTACGGGGGGATGATTCTGAGAATATGGGGATGAATATTAATGAGAATGATATTGACACTTGGTCTGACGTACAAACTGCTTCACAAAATGATGATGAGGATTCTGGTGAATTTGGGGTTGTTGAGAGGGAAAGGGTTAGGCAAATTTTTAGAGAATGGATGAATAGTGGTGTGGGGGAACATACACCTAACGTTTCCCAAATGAACAACAGCTCAAGGGCAGAGTGGCTTGGTGAAACAGAGCAGGAGAGGGTGCGAATGATAAGGGAGTGGGTGCAAAAGAATAGCCAGCAGAGAGGTACTCATGGTGGAAATGGGGAAGTCCAAACTGCTGACATTGGTACTCAGGTTGCACAAATTTGTGATGGATTGGTTGGAAGCCAGAATGAAGGCCGGATCCAGCATGCTCGGAGGGGTATTCGCAGGCTATGTGGCAGACAAGCTCTCCTTGATATGGTCAAGAAGGCTGAGATAGAAAGACAGAGGGAAATTCAACTATTGTCTGAACAACAAGCCGTATCAGGCTTTGTTCATCGCAACCGCATTCAGGTTGGACAGATTCTTTTTTCATTTCTTTCTTTTCGCAATTCCAATTACTTTGTCGTCCTTTGCATGCATGGATGATGTTGTTTTTCCTTTGCTAGTCGAAGGTGACAAAAAACCATTTTTTATGACGTACATAGTCTCTCAAATTGTTATACTCTAGAACGAAGTTCTTAACTATTCATGAGCTCAGCATGTTGATTAGAGTTTTTTTTTTTTCTGTGGTTTCTTTGATGCTCATAATTATCAACTCTAAGTATTATATTATATCATGGGATATTATTTTGCAGTCATTACTCAAAAGTAGATTTTTGCGAAACAACAGACTGACTGCAAATTCTAGATCTGTATCTGTTGCAGAATCCGAGTTAGGCCTTTTAAGGCAAAGACACACAGTCTCTGGTTTGAGGTATTTCTGATACTTTATGCCTAATTCTTGGACATCCTTGTCTTTCATTTCACTCGTGATTCATTTTCTACTTTGAATTACCGAAGTTATGTAGTAATTTCTGGATGTTGCACTTTTACCCTTCGGGGAAGTTATTCTATCTGGCAACGATTCTGTTAAGTGTTAGTGGTATTCATGTTTCCTCGACTGCTTTTCTTCACATCCTAACTGGATTACAGATTTGTCTCATTTTAAAATTGGTATTATACACTCCCCAGTCTCTTTCCTATAAAACTTGACCCAAGATCTTGTCCTGCTAAATCCTATTTTTTCAATCCTATATTGCTGGGTATATAAGAGGAACTTTGAGAATGACAATCTAGTGTCAAATTACTGCCATGTAAATTTCTATTAGTATCAGCATCGGCATCATCAACGTCACTCCAAACATCATTCTCATGTAAGATGAAAATATCTAATGTCTAGAGACATCCTTAACCGCTAGTCACATTGTTAGGAGACTAAATTCACGTATTACTGAGGCCTGAAAAATAGTGCTCAGTCTCATATGGGATTTTATATTCTCACTCCATAAGTTGCAAGGTCACTACCGGTTAGTGTCTTAATTTGGTCAGTCTAACATAGAGCTTATAAGCCTTTATTATTACAAAACTCTTTTTCTGCATTAATGTTACACTTATGGACATTGTTTATTTTCCTCGTTGGCATTGGTTTCATTGCGATTTATATCAAGAATCTTAAATCTTAGAACTGGGCATTGTGGATTAGGGTCATTAGATTCAACCAAGAAGTCTTAGGTCCAAAATTCGCTACCTGCTTGGATAATTAACATTTGATTGATACCAAATATTGTGAAGTTGAATAATAATAAGATATTTTGCTGTTTGTGAAAGTGTTAAGAGGTAGGATTTCTAAATATTACAAAAAGTCTAATTAAGCAAAAACAATGTAATTCACTCGATTCAAAATGAGTCTTGGATTTTTTCCTTAGTGTCAACCTTCAATTTTTCCCGATTGTTTTTCACTTAAGTTCACTGGCAACATGGCCTTTTTGTCCATTCTATAATGACAGCCCGTCCATTTGGACAATAGCAATGATATTGTGACTTTCTTTGAAGCAGGGAAGGATTCTTCTCCAGATTGGATAATTCTGTGCAAGATCAAGCAAGTAGCCGCCATTCTGACTCCACTTCTAACGCTGATGATGGTGATTCTCTAACTGACATGAATAGTACAAGGAGTTTTGAGGTCCTAGATGATCTTCGCGTAAATTCTGGGCGCAATAATGTGGAAAGTCATGACGAACCCTCTTTCAACACTGGTCTAACTGAAGTTAGATCTGATTTAGAAGGAAGTACCCCTGAAGGCAGGGAAGACTCTGTTCATATGGTAGAAAGTTTACAAGAACAAGCTGCCGAGAATGGTTTAGCCAGCCAAATGGCAGGTATCAACTCTACGGAAATGACAGATGATTCAGGACAAGATGTGAGAAGCATTTTGCAGGAAACTGCCCCAAATCTTTTATACCATGAAATTCCAGAAATCGATGCTGAGAATCATACTAGTGTACAGGATGTTGAACCTTCCATCCAACAAGTTAATACTCGTGATGAAAATGTTGATATTGGATTAGCATTAGATCATTTGGGAAGGTTTCAAGACAATGATCTCGAAAATGTAGATCCGCAGGAATCTCATTCTCACGAGGAGCTGAATGAAGAACTAGGTATGAGAGTTGAGCCAAATGATCGGCAAGAATCTGGTTTTCAACATGATGAATGGGAAAATAGCATCGAAGAAGAGATAAGTGAAACTCAGTTGGAAAGTATTGCTACTAATTGGTCTGGAGAATTCTCGAGTACAACATATAGAGGAGATACTCATCTGCAAAGTGCCCCTGAAGCTTCCCATGAAAATGTTATCTTTGTGGAGGATGTGCCGAATTGGTTAGAGGGCCTTCCTAATCAGGATGCTACATCCACCCGAAGGTTGGAGACCTTTTATTTTCCTGAAGATGATAATGTGCATAATGTAGAAATCAGAGAACTTTTAAACAGGTATTACAAAATTTATACGCTGACAAACATGCCTTGCTGTATTCAGACCTTTCTAAATGATGAGTTTACATGTGACTTGTTTTTTAAATTATGCAGGAGAAGTGTTTCTACTCTTCTTAGCAGTGGTTTCCGAGAAAGTCTAGACCAGTTAATACATTCTTACATAGAGAGGCAAGGTCACGGTACTAGGGATATAGACGAGACGTTGCCCCCTTACACATCTGCAGAACAAGAACAAGAGCACAACAGACAGAGTGAAGGTCAAGCGGGTTCTGTTGAGAGCCATTCGCTTGCTTTGCCTGTGCCACCTACATTGCCCTCTCGGCAACTTTGGGATCATGAGTTGAGCAATGGGAGTTGGCCACGACGTGATTTCCATCAACAATTTGGAGCTGTATGTCTCTTCAAGGTTCCCTTGTCGTCTTTTTAGTTGAAGTCGATGCAAAGTAAATAAATAAAAAATAGTAAAACATGGAAATGTAAATGCTTATGAATGGTGATTCTGTAATTCTATTTAGAATTATTGCAATTTACTTTCCGCCAAAGTTACCATGATTTTTGTATCATGATTATCTTTTTTTTTACTTAAAACTTGTTGAATTTTATAGGATTGGGAGATCGTTAACGATTTGAGGATTGACATGTCGAGACTGCAACAGAGGATGAGCAACCTACAGAGAATGTTGGAGACATGCATGGATATGCAACTCGAGCTGCAGCGCTCAATAAAGCAAGAAGTTTCTTCTGCATTGAACCGAACAGCTGGTTCAGAAGGTTTGTCTTTCATTTTTAATGCCGCTGGATTCTTAAGTTTATACAATTTAGCTGGTTCAGAAGAACACACTATGCCTCTATGAAAACTGTTCTTAGTTTGAGAGTTGATATATCTTAAATCTTTAGTGATTTTAGTAGTTTCTTTGTTTCTTGGGGTGGGATATTATATTTTTCCAAAATTAACTGTCAATCTAAGATAAAAGATTAAGAATTTTATTTTTAAATGTAATTCATGCCCTGGACCAATGAAATGATATGACGTACTCTCACATGTCATTGACTGATTGCATTTCACCTGCACAGAGATGTTTGAAGATAGTTTGCCTGATGATGAACCCAAATGGGATCGAGTAAGGAAGGGAATTTGTTGTATATGTTGCAATAACCATATTGATGCTTTGTTGTACAGGTAATTCCAGCAAACTCAGTCTATTTTTATGTGTTTTTCTTTGGTCCCAAGTTTCACTTTAATTTTATATTCTCTCATTTTCAACTTGTAGATGTGGGCACATGTGCACATGTTCAAAATGTGCTAACGTGTTGGTCAAGGCTCGAGGAAAGTGTCCAATGTGTTGTGCGCCCATACTAGAAGTAATTCGGGCTTACTCCCTATGATGACTTAGATGACAATAAAGAAAAATGAGATTACTACTGATTCATTCATCTTCATCCTCTTATTTCGTCCAAGTGTTCGACTGATTCTTCTCCTCCTGATTTCAATACACATATGACGTTTATTTGTACGGTGATGAACGATTGAAATAATAAATGTAATCTCTGTTATCGATTAATCTAGCCTGTGTTGAGTGAACTTAAAAAAACCTTATTTAGGGGAATCGTGATGAAGCTTTACTTTTTTTCTAACTCAACTTCCCTCACAACTCTTGAGCGAGCTTTTGTTGGCTTTCACATTTTTCCTTTGATCACTTAAAGATGGTTGTTTATCTAGAAAAAAATTTGTCTGCAATTATAATAAACTAAACAAGTCAATTTGAGCAACAAAGGTTCAAATTGTGTTGGTGATGGAGTGTAGAGTTGGGGAGTTTATGAAGGGTTGTGGGGTAGTTTGAATCCGTGAAAAAAGCGCGTTGCTAGAAATCTCACCATTTTTGGTGAGGTTTATTTTTTTATTTTTGAATATCTATCGTTACAATCTCCGACCCTATCCATAAGATTAAAATAGCTCCCGAGCCATCCACAACCATATTCAAAATATAAATTCTTATGCTGATCTCCTTTAATTTCTAAATTTTACAAATTCTTATGCTGATCTCCCTTCATTTCTAAATTTTACGAATTCTTATGTTGAAAAATATATAATAAAATCAAAAATCAATAAAAACTTTTACTGTTTTATATTAAAATTATACCCTATTTTAATTTTAATATTCAATTTTCATTAATTATTTTCTTAATTTAACAAAATATAAACATTCCAACCATTCATTAAATTTAAATTTAATAAAATCAAATATTAATCTATTCAAAATTAGTAACAGAATAACTCTTACACCTCCATAAATTTCTACATAAAAAACAACTCTAAATATATATTTTTATTAAATGATTTCAATTTTCATACCAAAATGGGAATAAAATCTGTTGTAAGAATGAAAAAAAATTAGAAAATATAAGTTAGGTTCTACCTTGGTTGTCATTTTGTCCCTTGCGGCTATATCTTGGGTTGTCCGATCCAGCTCTAATCTTGTCTTTCTCCACCACGTCCATTTATAACTTCCCAATGAATTCATTCACTCAACATCGTCTTCCATTATCACATCGTTCTCTCCATCCAATGGATAAACGGTTTGTCCTTCGTCTTTGTTTCACTCTTATTGCTTCATTTACTCTGTTTCATGTCGGAACTTCCATAAAATTTCAAGATGGAAATGAAGAATGGGGCTACGTTCAAGTCAGACCGAGTAAGCTAAATTCATTCCTTTTCATTCTATTTTATTATTATTATAATTAATATTCATATATTTTTTCTTTGATTGTGTTGTTCAGAAGCCCATATGTTTTGGTGGCTTTATAGAAGCCCTTTAAGAGTGTACGCCGGTTCCAAACCATGGCCGACCATTCTTTGGCTGCAGGGCGGACCGGTAAGAGACCGATCTTTTTTAATGATTTATTTATAAATTTTGTGTATTTTGTAAGAAAATGATTCAAATATTGAAAAACAGGGTGGTTCGGGAACTGGGTTTGGAAACTTCTTGGAAATTGGGCCGTTAAACTTGAACTTGAAGCCTAGAAACTCAACATGGCTACAAAAAGCTGACCTCTTGTTTGTGGTCAACTTCCTTTCCTTTCAATTTTCCTCATTTTAATGTTAAATTCTAATGTTTTACGATTAAATTTATGATTTTAACGTTAAAAAAAAAACATAAAATAGGATAATCCGGTCGGGACCGGATATAGCTACGTGGAGAGTGGCGGAGAATTTGCGAAAGGCGATGTGGAGGCGGCGATCGACATGACGACTTTGCTAGCTGAGGTTTCGAAGAACAACACTGTCTGCCTACGAAACGCTCATTTGTACATCTTTGCGGAGTCTTACGGTGGAAAATTCGCTATCACTTTGGCTTTGTCCCTCCTTCAAGCCATCCAAGCTGGCAATTTGGCCCTTAATCTTGGAGGTACTTCCTTTAATAAAAAAATCCAAATATAAATTAGTAATTATAACCTTTTCTCATATAAAAAAAGACAATTATATTCTCTATTTCATTTTTATATAATGAACACGTGGTTTTATTCTTGTGTTCCAATAATTATATATGTATATATATATTATTTAATATTGTTTAATAGGTCTGATTTTGTATTTCTTATTAATTCTATTTTAATTCATAACTTTTAATAAGTTTTAAATTTTAAATTTAGTCTTAAAATTTTTATTGAAATATATCGAGTAACAATAAATTTAATTTTAATTTTAATTTATATAATTAATAATTTAGAATACATCTCTTCCTATTTATATTGACAGGAGTTGCCCTAGGAAACAGTTGGATGTCCCCGGAAGATTACACTGTTCGTATTTCCGTCCTCTCAATCTCATCCAAAATTTTATCAATTTTCTCATTATTTTTATTTTCAAAATGATAAACGAAAAAAATATTCTTAAATTATGAAGTTGATTTCAATTATATCCCGATCTAAAAGTTAAAATGAAACATCTCAAAGCTCAAGAGTATAACTGATACCAACAAGTATTCTTTTATCCTTAACACAATAATTTTTGTCTAAAAATTTTACAGTTTTCTTGGGGCCCTCTTCTCAAAGATCTCTCGCGAATCGACGACGTGACGTTGCAGGCATCAAATAGGTCACTATTTTCTTTTAAAATAATAATAGAGCAGTGAAATATATTCTGTAAATATAAAATTATGTAACAAAAGTCGTTTTTGAAAAACAGACTAGCATGGAAGATCAAGCAGCAAATTAAAAACAAGTTGTACGAAAATGCAACTGTTTCCTGGAGTGATCTTGAGGAATTAATTATCACCAAAAGCAACCACGTGGTAAGCTTTATAATTATTCTTTTTTAACGAAAAAAAACCTTTAATATTAATAAAAATTATATTTATATTATTGTAAATTATAAGTTTAATCATTAATAAATCTTTAATTTTAAAAAAGATTAATTAATTCTATTGAATTTTAGTTTATGTTTATTAAGTTAATAAATTATAAAAGAGTATTTCTATTAAGCTAGTAGGTTTTAAAGTAGTAAATTTATAAAATATAAAATTTAAATTTTATATTTAATAAATTTGTATATTTTAAAAAATTGATTTAAATTTTAAATTCATATATATACTTATATAATTAAAAAAAAAATTAAGGACTTTTATATTGACGAACATTTTTCAAATTTAAATTCAATTTTGAAAATTAAAAGATTCTCGAGAAAACTAGCATTAGATTTTAAAAAGACATAAAATGAAATAATGAGTCGTTTTTTTTTCTTTTTTTGCAGGATTTCTATAACTTCATGCTGGATTTTGAAATGGACCCGTTAACCTCGACGACGATAACAACTACAACGACAAGTAGTGTGGAACCAAATAGAATTGATTCATTTGAAGTAAAAAAGAACTCTCGATATCTTAGCTCGCATATATACAAACCAGGAAGTGGTGGAGGCTTGGAAGCTTTGATGAATGGCCCAATTAAGCAAAAACTTGCTATTATCCCACCAAATGTCAAGTACGCTCCAATAAACCCATTTTTCTTTAAATAAATAATAATGTCAAATAACATAAAAATTAAATTAATTATCCAAATTTAGAGATTAAATCTTACCATCATAAATTTTGTATGTATAGATGGGGAGGTCAATCTGACCTAGTCTTTCAATTTTTTACGCGAGACTTTATGAAGTCAAGGATTAACGAGGTATATTTTTTTAACCGAACTAATTTCAATATTTTTATTTCTTAATTATTTTTATATATATTTTCTGTTGGAACAGGTTGATGAGTTACTAGCTAAAGGAATTAATGTGACTATCTATAACGGTCAAGTAAGATTTTATTTTTCTTTTTTCAAGTTATAATTCCAAACGAAAACAAAATATTTTGAAATGATAAAAATTGTAATATTCTCCGAGATGTACGGTTGACTTTTTTCTTTCTTTTGACATAGGTCGATCTTATTTGTTCAACCAAGGGCACGGAAGCGTGGATTAATAAGCTCAAGTAATTCCTTTTTTTAAGTGATTTAAAGTTAGATATTTAAAATTTTAATTTTAGCTTTTATATATATATATATTATTTTTTTATTGAATTTAGGTGGGAAGGATTAAAGGCATTTATAAACAAAGAGAGAACTCCGTTATTTTGTGGAAATGAGAAGCAAACTAAGGGCTTCACTAAATCGCATAAGAATTTGCACTTCTATTGGATCCTTGGTGCGGGCCATTTTGTAAGTATATATATATATATATATAAACTTTATTCGGATTATAATTTAGAGTAAAATTTAATACTTTTTAATTATATGATAATAAATGCAGGTTCCTGTGGATCAACCGTGTGTGACATTAAACATGGTAGATGCAATTACACAGTCACCAGCTTCTTGATGCAGTTACTTTTAAATCTCGTGTATTCTACATATTTATTAATATTAATAAATCTAGTGTCATTTAATTATTTTACTCGTTAGGACAGTTATATTTAGAGGTACTTTTTATTTACTTTACGATTATGTCAACGAATATAAATTAATTAATTAAGGGTTCAAAATAATCCATATGTAAAAAAAAAAAAAAAACATAAAGCAATTAATATCATATTTTCATTGAATAATAAAGCTTCGATGAATCATTTCATATAATTAAATAATAAACGTCATACTCAAACTATTTATAAATAATAAATATAATAATAAAATAAGTATCCTAGTTCAAAATTGATTGAGATGGAATACTGTTGTAATATTAATTTAATTAGACGATGAAAACTAAATAATTTTTTTTTAGAAATTTAAATTAATTGCGATTTTTCTTTTTTGAATGATTTTAGACAAAACGAAATAAATTAAAAAAGAATTAGTATTTATTTATTTATTTATTTATAAAATCAACATCTCATTTCTCTCTCGTAATTATTTATTTGCATTAAAAAAATTACAAATCCCAAAAAAATAAAAATTTTAAAAATTAATTTTGGTTAAATTTTGATTATAGTAACCATTTAGACGGAATTTAATTTATGAAATAAAATGTCAAATTTTAATATTTGTAATTTAATAAATAAACAAATCCAAATCCAAACCCAAACAAAGGGTTGGAATTTCAATTCTGATTTCTGTTTGTTTCTCAGGAAAACACACAAAATTTCATTTACTTCATTTGAAATAGCACAACATTGCTTGTTATAATCTATGGTCGTCTTCTAGCAGAGCATCATATTCACGAAGGAGATATCAAAGTGAAGTTTCTGTCTTCTTTTACGCAAATGATTTCGCTTTCTTTTCCATGCCGTCCAATTTGTTTTTCTATATTATTTGGAAGAAATTTCAATGTTGAATTCATCCCGTGTTTATCGAAAGAAAAAATCATTTTTGTTGTTGTTCATACGTATACTAGTTTGTGAAGCTTCGAAGGGGTATAGTTGATTTTTTCTGATTTGGTCATACATCCCTTTCGAATTCCTTAAATGACAATAATAGTCTAAGTAAGCATTCTAACACAACTTCAACACGCTTCATTTGTACAATATTGACTCATTAATACTCGAATTGATGGAATGCTATTACTTTTAATGCCTTTCGCTCTCTTAAAGACGTTTACATAGACATTTTTGCAAAGACTGCTTCAATGGCACAAACTTGGTCTCTCTTTATGTCAACGTATACTCATTTTTGTTATATAAAGCTTTGAAAAGACTTGGAACGTTTTCATAACAACACACTGGCGTGAGGATTCCAATGTTTTCGTCTCCATGGATTCCTTTTTTACTTTTTGTTCTTTCAACCTCTGTTGTTACTGCTTTGCCGTATCGATTTCCAAGGCTGAGTCCTATTGGTGAAAAGTTTCTACATCATTCTAGAGTTCTGGAGTTGCCTCCTTCGGATGATTTCAAGACATTTTATTACAATCAGACACTTGATCATTTCAATTATAGGCCTGAAAGCTACACGACATTCCCGCAAAGATATATAGTCAACTTCAAGTACTGGGGTGGTGCTAATTCGAGTGCTCCAATTTTTGCTTATTTGGGCGCTGAAGCACCAATTGATGATGATTTAAATGTTATTGGGTTTATGACGGATAATGCCATCCAGTTTAATGCTCTTCTCGTTTATATTGAGGTAAAGTTTAATGTTCTGTTAGTGGTGGGCTTGAACCATTACAGTTTTAGAGTTTCTAAAGCTGTTTGTCATTGTAACAGCATCGATACTACGGAAAATCAGTACCATTTGAATCAAGGGATGAAGCCTTGAGAAATGCTAGCACTCTTGGATACTTTAATTCAGCCCAAGCGATTGCAGATTATGCAAATATTCTTATGCACGTGAAGAAAGAGTTTCGTGCTAATTATTCTCCCGTGATTGTTATTGGTGGATCATATGGAGGAAGTAAGTCGTTTTTCATTCATAGTCTGCAAACTCAGTTACAGCTTACTGCTACGAATCACAACTCTCCACCATTTTGAACATAAACTTTCATAGATACGTGCATCCAATATCTAACGTATTATCTATTTTCAGTGTTGGCTTCATGGTTCCGTCTTAAATACCCTCACGTGGCACTAGGAGCTCTTGCATCCTCAGCGCCACTCCTTTATTTCGATGATATTACACCACAGAATGGATACTATTCTGTTGTCACCAAGGACTTTAGAGTAAGATGTTGAAATTTTACATCCCTTTCTTATTATGACAATTTTTTTTTTTTTTAATGTTTTTAAAACAAAATATATGAATTGCAGGAAGTCAGTGAAACTTGCTATGAAACTATTAAGAAATCGTGGTCGGAAATTGAAGCAGTTGCTTTGCAGCCTAACGGCCTTTCCTTTCTCGACCAAGAGTTCAAAACATGTCGGTAATAAATTGCGCCTCTGGTCTAAAATTCAATGAAGTTATGTACTGTTGGGGTGAAAGTTCTCTATTTGTAATCATTTAAAAAACAAATAAATTATAAAATATATGGAAAGAATAATAAATAGGTATAAGATATTTGCCTATGCTAAAAGGACAAATATAATTCTTATGGTAAGCCGTAATTGGAGGCAAATATCTAGATTAAATATGATATATATGGTAAACTATAATTCAAGATTAAATATTCTTAACCGATTCCTTCTTGTTTTTGTAGCCCAATAGGAAGGTCCTTTGAGTTAAGAGACTACTTGTGGTCCATGTATGCTAGTGCAGCCCAGTATAACCACCCACCTGGATATCCAGTCACCAGGATTTGTGATGCCATTGACGGAGCTTTTTCTGTGAATGGAACACTTGGCAAAATAGCTGCAGGTGTGTTTGCTTACAGAGGAAATTTGTCCTGTTATATTAATGAGCCCAGAAATGAAACTGAGACTGATGTAGGATGGAGATGGCAGGTAATTTTTCAAGTGGAGACATCAGTAAATAAAAAATTAACTAAACTAGAGCTTCTAATTTTGCCTATATGTTTCTGATAGTAAAATTTAACTCAACACTTTTGTTAAAAAGGTGAAAAATCAGTGAAATTGTTCTGTTTGGACTTCCGCTTTCCATTCTCCCTCAAGGCGTGTATGTTAGGGAGAGGTTTTCACATCCTTATAAAAAATGTTTCGTTCTCCTCCCCAACCGACGTGGGATCTCATAATCCACCCTTTCAAGCCCAGCGTACTTGCTGACACACCGCCTCGTGTCTACCCCCTTCGAGACTCAGCCTCTTATCTGGTACATCACCCGGTGTATGACTCTTATACCATTTGTAACAGTCCAAGCCCACCGCTAACAAATATTATTCTTTTTGGATTTTCCCTCAAAGTTTTTAAACTGCATCGGCTAGAGAGGGGTTTCCACACCCTTATAAAAAAATGTTTTGTTCTTCTCCCCAACCGGTGTGGGATCTCACAATCCACCCCTTCGGGGCCCAACGTACTTATTGGCACACCGCCTCATGTCCACTCCCTTCGGGGCTTAGCCTCCTCGCTGGTACATCACACAGTGTATGACCTTGATACCATTTGTAACCGCTCAAGCCCACCACTAGCAGATATTGTTCTCTTTAGGCTTTCCCTCAAGGTTTTTAAACCGCGTCTGCTAGGGAGAGGTTTCTATACCCTTATAAAGAATGCCTTGTTCTCCTCCCTACCAATCTATTTTAGAATTTTCTCTTGTGATATTTTAAATGAGCAGTGAAATATTATTTTTCCTGTAAAAAAAAATTGTTTATACACTGAAAAGCTTCATCTTGTTGTAGTCATGCAGTGAGATGGTGATGCCAATAAGTTCAGATGATGATATGTTTCCACCATTCCCTTTTGACCTTGGAAACTTCAGCAGATATTGCAATGGTTTATATGGTGTCCCTCCCAGACCCCATTGGGCTACCACCTACTATGGAGGCCATGTATGTATTTCATTTGCTTGTTGTCAACAAAATTATCTCCTCATCTATAAATTGAAGTTTATTGTCTTTCTAAATATATATTGTAGGATATACAACTCGTCCTTCAGAGATTTGGTAGCAACATCATTTTTTCCAATGGACTCAAAGATCCTTATAGCATTGGCGGGTAAACAAAACAATACTCATTTATAAACAGATAAAGATGACAAGCTTTACTGGGCCTTAATTATTTGTCTCTTTCTGACTCCAGTGTATTGCACAACATATCAGACACTCTCCTTGCAGTGCATACCACTAATGGTAATGCTTTCATCTCTATGTTTTGGAAGTTTTACATCATTCTCGTTTATTGTAACCACCTTACTCCACCGCTAACATATATTGTCTTTTTTGGGGTTCCCTTTTCGAGCTTCCCCTTAAAGTTTTTAAAACGCGTCTGTTGGGGATAGGCTTCCACACCCTTATAAAGAATGTTTCGTTCTTCTTCCCAATTGATCTGAGATCTCACAATCCACCCCCGGTTCTTTCTCAAATCGATGTGGGACCTCACCAAATCCACCCTCCTTTAAGGCCCAGTGTCCTTACTGACATACTGCCTCGTGTCTACCCCCTTTGGGGAACAGCATCCTCGCTGGCACATCTGGTGTCTAGCTCTGATATCATTTGTAACGACCCTAGTGCACTGCTAACAGATATTATCCTCTTTGGACTTTTCCTTTCGGACTTCCCCTCAAGGTTTTTAAAATGCGTCTACTAGGGATAGGTTTCCACACCCCCTATTAAGGGTGTTTCATTCTCCTCCCAAACCAATGTGAGATCTCTCAATCCACCCTCCTTCAAGGCCCAGCATCCTCGCTGGCACTTGTTCCTTTCTCCAATCAATGTGGGACTCCCACCAAATCCACCTCCCTTCCGGTCCCAGCTTCTTTACTAACACACCGCCTCGTGTCTACCCCCTTTCGAGGAACAACATCCTCACTAGCACATTGCCCGGTGTCTAGCTCTAATACCATTTGTAACGACCCTAGTCCACTGCT